AAAAACAAAGGATCATGATCGAAGTGAAGGGCGTTCATACAGGAAATAGATTATGGCTATTATTCAGGTGTGAACTCGATAGAGAATTTATTGTCACTTACTCGAATATGTAATAATATGTGTGAACCAGCTTCAACATCGCAAAATATATTGCTAGTTGCTATTAACCTTATTATGGCCTTTTTGAAGAATAAACTTGTTCTGTGTTCAACTTAACAGAGCTGTGGAAAAGCTTCTTGCAAAGGCCGGCGATATCTTGAATGTTGCAAAAAGTGACGGATTTACAACCCTTCATATTGCAGCAATCAATGACCACCGCGAAATAGCCAAAATCCTCCTGAAGCAGGTAAACATCCTCATTGTTATACGTGAGTATACGTAAATTATATTTGGCAAAAAAAGGGTAGAAAATAGCCATTTACGAAATGAGTAAAATTATTTTCCTGTTTTTGTCTCCCGTACGAAGTTATAATTATAATATTTCAGATATTTTAAAGAGTCATCGCCTATGCTTGTATTGAATGCAGCTAATTTTTATTGCGGAGCTCCGGCCGGGGCCCGAAGGGCCGTCAAGCGGAGCCCCATACTGTATCGTGGCTAGCGATATTGCTCGTGGGCGCGTACGCACGACGGCGACGACGGAGTCGAGCGACATGACGGCCATACTCCAAATAATAGGTTGACAGACATGCAGCCTTTAAGGTGTACTTCTTTGATATTGGACATCCAGGTTATGATCAATTGACACTTGTCAAAAAAGTATCCGCTGACCAGTATCACGTGACCATATCGCAGGCTCAAGTTTACAGTTCATCGAGATCATGTGGTTTTTTTAAGTTGACCGCTGACCAAGTGCTGGTTTTCGATTGGATCGCCGGCTCATGTCAGGTTAACTTGTTGAAGACAGGGCAGGATTCGGGACCTGATTAACGCTAACCCGGGATTAAAAGTTAACCGAATTATAACTTTTTCTTCCATACAAATGTTTTTTGTTGCTTTGTTTTGTGTATAAGGTGATTACTAAAACTCAAATCAGAAGGCCAAACAATATACTAAAAACCTCACCGCAAAGTTACTCAAAAAGTTAACTCAAATCAAAATTCTACCTTTTCCTGGGTTTGCTTAATCGGGCTCTGAACAACCCGGCCCAGGAGCTACGCTTTCAGGCTGGCCTAACTCTGTGTATTATTGTCAACTTTCTACACATAGTGTATGCATGTATTTCTTCTTCTGTTAAATAATTGTTATGGCTAAACGTTTTCTAATTCTGAAATAATTTGACGGTCGTTGTGTGCACAGGTCCTTAATTAAGGCTAGCTATCACAGTTTTTTTTTTGTCCGAAAGCCTGGGTGTGATGTCAATGCGCTTACAGTTGAAAATCAATCAGCACTTCATCTGGCCACTAATGAAGGTTACTCGGACATGGTCGAAATCCTTCTCGATCATGGAGCAGATGTAAATTCTGTCGACAAGGACGGAGATACAGCATTGCACATTGCCCTGGCTAAAGAGTCCTTGGTAGGAACAGATTTAATGAGTCAAATGGTAAACATATAATGCTATAGAGTTCTATTTATCAAAGAACCATCCGATGTCATCCAATTAAGTCACTCGAACATAGCTGGAAAAATGTAGTTTAACCGGTTATTTTGGTAACATGCTCTGTGTGGAAAAATATACGGTACTGAACTTCAATTGTATACCCGCAAGTTTAATCAGTGACCATTATGTTTAATCAGGTGGCTTTAAATTCGTTTTCAGCACTAAAAACAATATCAAACAGGATCTTTAAAATTTATTGGTAGTTTACATCTTTGTTTCAGGTTTTTAAAAGACTGTTTAGAAAATTTTCGAGACACAATTTCGCGATTTGGCGAAATTTGTATTGACCCCGCCTAAAGTCGAATACTAAATGATCGCGGTGCTCAGCTAGAAAAGAGAATAGAAAGGAAAGAGAAGACACTCTGCGTTTAGAATTGCCTCTTTTTGATTATTACGCAAGAAAAACATTTCTCGAAGACGGATAAATATCGGAGCTAGTGAGCGGACAATTTGATAACCGGGAAAAATAGTGTGTTAATGGATCTGTGGCTCTTACAGATGAGAATCGTGTGCATTCAATTCCGTTTTTTAGTGTATTACGTGTTTAAATTGTTGATGGTTCAATTTTCATGTACTTACCAGGAGGGAATGTATCTATTATTGACCGGAAATATTGTATAGCAACGTTCTAATCACGTCAATTTCTCTTCTTGTTTCAGCCTAGTCTTCAGTTACTGTTACGAGTTCACGGAGACAGTCGTTCCTACGCAACTGTTACACGCTGCTTGTTAAGTTACGGAGCTGATGTGTTCAAGGTGAATGGAAGAGGCGAAACCCCACTTCATAGATGTCAAGGGTCAGAAGTTGAACATCTCATTCGAGAGATTGCGGCATCTGGCGGGTACAAGAAACAGCAGTGTGTCTTTGTGAAGTCATTTGCTCATTTTAGAGTATCGTTATTACTAAGCATATGTAAAATGCTTTTATGTCCACTAAGTCAAGTCAAAATATTTCTATTTTTTCATTTATATCAGGACTTCACAGATTAGGAAAGTTCCGAGCTTTGGGGCTACAAACCCATCCTCAAACAGACAAATAATGAATAGTACTAGGTTAGCCAAAAAGGCAGGAGGGACCCAAAGAGATGTGGAAAGAAACAAGCCAAGTACAAGTGAAGCTAATAGCAAGCAAGAGGATATAAATGAGGACAACGGCGACATCACCGTCCAAGATCAACCTGTTCAGGCCACAGAGGGGCAGGAAAATCAGGGGGAGGAAGACGATCAAGGTGCTGTAAATGTGGCGATGGACGAGGACGTTAATATCGTGGAAAATTCTGTCGACGGAGAGCCCTCGTACCAGGTAAGATCGAAAAGAGATGGCACAACAATGACGTGTGACATGTACCAGCAGGTTAATTTATGAGATAAGACATGCCCGTACGTTTTTTAGGAGTTTCCTTGTCATATATAATATAGCTTTGCAGTTAAAAGAGCAGAGACGCCAGTCCAGTTTCGGCCTGAATTTAATCCGCGTCTCAGATGTTGATGCTGGGCGGATCATTGACGATAAGAAAACAACTTATCTTTCTCAATAATTAATGTTATTAATGAATCTCAACCCAGCACCCAGGATCTTTCTTGATCCCTCTTAAGTAAAGGAGTGGCAAAATGATGGTAATTTAAATAGCGTGAGAGTTTATGGGAGGATTTTATTTCACCTAATATTGTTTTAGAGTCTCACGCCAACCAATACATACAATAACGATTTATTCACAACATTTCTACTAAGTAGCTATTCCTCTGCGAATCTAAAAAAAGTGTAAAGTTTTGTGTGTATTGAAAGGTACAGGTTATCAGGTAGATATATATTAAAAAAGTACACCGACCGGTAAAAGGAATGCATCATTAATTGCCTCTACAAGCGGGATTTAGCCCAAAACAGTCTAAAAGCCAACAAATAAGCAAACTGAAACAAACAAACAACTAGCGTCATAGCTGCAGAGAATTCACCNAAAAAAAAAAAAAAAAAAAACATGAAAAGAAAACAAGACAAATGGGATAGACATGATGATAGATGCGAATGCAGCCATAACACTACTGGAAAAAAGACCTGGAAAAAATTCACGCGTTCAACGGGATTCGAACCCACGACCTTTGCGATACCGTTGTAATGCTCTCCCAATTGAGCTATCAAAGCCACATGAGAGCGGTCGTGTGTGGCTTGGCCCTTTATGTTCAGTGGACGTAATACTCGGCTCGAGTATGTAAATTCCATCTATTGCTATGGAATTGACATACTTGAGCCGCGTATTACGTCCAACGAACGTAAAGGGCCAACCCACACACTACCGTTCTCATGTGGCTTTGATAACTCAGTTGGCGGAGCATTACACCGGTATCGCAAAGGTCGTGGGTTCGAGTCCCGTTCAAACCCTGAACATTTTTTCAGGTCCTTTTTTCCAGTATTGTTATGGCTGCATCCGCATCTATCGTCATGCTTACATTTAATTGCTATTGTTGGACATCTATTACTACAAATAGGGAAGTTTGAAATAAATAGGGACAAATAAATATTTTCAAACTTCATTTGTTTTTATATAAAGGAAAATATCGTCCTGGAAGTGACTAATCAAGTGCAAGAAGAACCTTCGGACACAGAAGTACTAAACAATAGCACCGATGAAGATGTCGCAATGGCTGTGGATAACGAAGTCGCAGAAAATGACCACAGCTTAGGTCCAGATCTGGAAACACAGGCTGATGGCAACGACGAACATATGGATCAAGCAAAAGAAATTATAGAAAGTGAAAATCTGCTGTCCTGTAATGAACAAAAACC